ACGCACGCAGATAGGTTTGCTTTTGCGTGTATGAATGAACCAGAACTCATTCTCTATGAAAAAGCTATTCAAACAGGTCAACGAATATCACTCTGTGCATGACGTGAGGCTGCTGTTTGTTGCCTCTCCCCTCCACCACTGATGAAAGCACATCAGCAAGTATCACCAGCAGAAACGTGATAGGGAAAAGTATACGATATTCACGAAGTATGTACCTGTGAGATAATTCGACCAGGAGGGATTATTTATTTGTCCACGAAGACAAATGCCTACTGAGATCATGTCTAATCTGAACCGATTTTATGCGTCCATCAGTGTTCAAATTGGTACAGTTTAAATCCCAAAGAGAAGCCTGAATTTAGTCAGAGTACCAATGAGAACCGCATAGACTAAAAGAGATGTATGCCAAACGATTGCGGAACAGTAATCATCATAACAAAGAAATAAGTTACTCGTGGATGGAATACTGCCAGGATGCCCCTTTCAAATCCGATAAGTATTCATGGTGAATTAGAATTTTTAGCCAACTCTCCAGGTGAACTGCTAGTGGTGCACGGATCCGGTTATAGCCCTGGATGTCGATTTTTTGTTCTTTCATTTTGGTGGGAAAACACCTCCGCCAAATGTGTGCAGTGAATAGGGATTCTTCAGAAGAGGGTATTTGAGACGCTTGATCGGATAGAAGCCTATTTAAGCAAAAACAACAGATGCACAAGGAGCTTATCCGGTGACTAACTAACAATCGTAATCCACCGCGGTCAATGTGTGACTATGACTAAATAAAACTCTGCACCTAACGTCTGTCTTACATGTTAGATGGCTCGGCCGGGCTCATCAAATGCGGTTTGAACACAAATAGTTTGTGTCTAGGCTCAGAAAAGAAGAATAAACAATATCTCTTACTTTCTGGTCGATTCGTTGTACAACGAAATTTCGAGCACAAAAAACGAGTCCAATCAGGTAAAAAGAAAAATAGGGGAGAGTATGAGGTAAAATCGTGAAAACACTCGCAAGCATCAACTTAATCCTGTGAGCCTCCACCCATACATTAATACAATATGCAAGCTTAGTCGGGGTTGATTAAATAAGCGCGCAGTTAACCCGATCCAGCATGCCACGTGACCAGCCCGACCGTTCAGCAGCCATTGACACATGATTATTTTTCGATCAATGAACCGCGCCAAATCAGTGATCAAAACGACTATCATTCGTTTGCTATCACAATCGAAGACGTCCCGAAATAGTAAAATAGTGCAACAGACATGTGAACGTAATAACCGAATTGCCATCTAACCTGTCATTGTGTTCCAAACGAGAACACCTATTCACATAACCCGTATCCTCAATGTCATTGCGAAGTTATCCATTTACTGTTCATCCATTGATTCTTAAAGAGATATGCACATTTTAATCGGCATAATTTCAGCTATTCAATCGACCAATGTAATTCAGACGGATTGATATAAGCGAAAAGACTAAACATCACCACAAACAGGTATGGATGAAAGTGATATGCACACATAATCCCCTTGCTGAAACCTCGAGCTCCGACAACCTTAGCTCAAACGCAATCCTCAGCGATGGCGATCAAATCGTGTGGTTTGCACCATGTCATAGAAATTGAAATTCGTGTATTTTGTGCACAACACGTTTCTGCGTGATACTTCTCCATGGCCTGAAGTGAGCTCACTTCAGGCCATTGCGGAAAATTAATGACATGCCCAAAAACCAACTGTTTCTTTATGAACAAGCATCGAACGAAATTTCCATTCACACAGAAGTACTTTTTGTGCGATCATTATCCAGCAGGCGATCAAGGATTGTCTCAGAGTAATCAATGTGAATTGTGAGGCGATCACGTGTAATATACATATATATATATATATATACATATATATATATATATATTGGCAAACGAACACGGTGTCAATTTGACAAGAGCAATTTAGAACGACAAGGACAAAGCAATTACAGAGAACAAAGGGAAAAACGGTAACGTCCTGTGTGTATCATCGGACAGTTTCATACTTTTATAGAGCAGAGAGTTTCAACAGACAGACAGTTAGGCATTCACACCACGGACTTCTATTCTAGGCGATACAACTCAGCGTCTTTAACCAGCGACTATTCTCATCTCCTGGGCTCTAGCTAGGTAGATGAGCTGCACCAACCGAAGCTAATGCTGAGGTTAANTCACACACATCAAGTTATTGTCTGACCACCGAGGTGCTTCTTTCAGCCTTTCCCAGGATGCCCAAAGAGAGCACAGAGACAGACGAATACACAAGACGTGACCGAGCCATTGGAGCCGGTGTATAAGGATTTTTCTTTTAGAGCATGACTATCAGCAGCCAACACACGACGACCAGCCTAGTCATAGATCACCCGATGTTCCCTCCATATACTAACCAGTCGTTGAAGATGTCGGTGGTTGAATCCAGTTAAGTGATTAGCATCATCAACGAGAGGCAAGGTCGCGCAACCATAAAGTAAAGCACTACGAACTAGGTAGTGTACAACCTTCTTTTGAAGGAAAGCCGGATGTAATGGTGGCACCTCAGGTGTCGCAAGTTGGCAAAAGCTTCGTGATTTGATCTCCTCTCCAACTCCAACTCCGGCTACGACCAAGCTCCCGGGGTACTTAAAACCCTCGACTACTTTTGTCTGATCCCCACAAAGGATGAGAGCAAGCACAGGCTGTTGTCAGTCCTATGTATAGGCGTTTTGTATTTTGATGGTATATACTTATCTAGACGGCTAAGTATTGACAATCGGTCCTCGTAGTTCGGATGAACTGAATTCCATTTCACCTGTTTTCGGAGCTTGCCAATTTGTTTGCAAACGTTTCATCACCTGCCGGGGCGACATTGTAAGTGCTTGTAAAGTGGCCACTTCTACTGGTGATGAAACGTTGCAAATTGCCAAGCTCGACGAACAGGCGAAATGGAACTATATTGATACATCACGGGAACCAGGCGGTTCGAAGCCTTGTATTGCGAATCAACACAGCGAGAAAGAGGTCAAGTATAAAAACTGTTAGAAAACATAACGACTGAAACAAGACTGCATTGCCTAAATCATGTTGAGATGGAAGCATTTAATTTGCTTCTCTAGGATTGCTTTTCTCTGGCAACAGAGTGGCAAGATGAACTGCAAACCCAAGTGAATTCAGAGAGCATTTGTTGAGAACTGAACACTAACGTTCAACTCTTAGGTAGACATTTCAACAGCGACAAATTCTGAAGTTGAAAGAAAGAGAAAAAAGGGGTTAACTGCGAAGATTCCGTAACAATGAAATCTCCCTGTCGTTCGTCGCGTAATACGTTCAAATAACAGAACGGGTTGCAATAAGAGAAAACTTCAAACAAAATGTTGGATTAGGTCAAACAGGGGTCTTGATCACGTGAACTCATCAACTGGAGTTCACTCAGACAAGGCCCGGAGACAAACACAAAGTAAAAATACAGTAGTGATGGAAAAGAAAAAATTGACTGTTTTAGTCAGATTTAAGGAACTCATTAACCCATCCGAATGGGTCACTCATTGTTCAAAGAGATTCCACAACAAATACTCATGTGAGCACGTGTGCGGAGTCGCACGATAACACACATGTGCCTATCAACAAACTACGCACATACACCTGCCCATTCAGGTCAGTGGAGCAGCCACAATTGCTTCCTGTGCTTGGCTTAAGCTATTTCCATTTGCTAGGAGAGTCGTAAATAGCAACTGAAGGAGAGGTGCGCGAGCGATACACAGAGCATGAGAGAAAGAGAGTGGGAGAACAAGTGAATGAGCACACTCGTATGATAAAGACGGGGGTTTGATTGTGACCCCATCGTGACCTTGTGGCCGACGATCGCGCAAATGCCTGGTGGGAATGTGTTATGTTTCGGGCCACGCGTAACACAAAGCAAAAACGGACTTGGCTCACAGGGTTTTGGGGGAACAACTACTTGCTAGATGCCAGGAAATGTGTGTGTGTGTGCTCATTTGACCAAAGCGGACGCAAAATAGAGAAGCGTAGACACGTGCATACACACACACACACCCGCGCCTACACAACGGCGACTCAAACCTCCCGTGTGCACGCACCGCAGTGACTCACCTCGTTCTTCCCCACTTCGTTGGTCAACCCCACATAGCACGAGGTTTTGCTTGGCATTCGGCTTTGGTCTACTGGCTTCGCACATCCGAAACCTGGGCACGGACAACACGCTTGTGTGTGCACGCACACATACATAGCTGAATAAGTAGCAAAGCAACCAAGTTGGCATTGCATTGACGTTATTTTTGCGTGATCCCACAAGAACGTGTGTGTGTGTGTGTGTGTGTGTGACACAGCGCTGAGCACGCTACTGAGGTCGTCCGGACAGCGACAGCGTAGTTGCAGGAACGTCACACGCATATGGGCAAGCAAGAGAGCGAGCGCAGGGTGGGACACCGCCAATGAGGTACCCAAGTTTTGTCAATTGAACGTTCTCCCAGAGAGGAACACGACCAAGCACAGAGTTGGCAGTACACCTATACGCGTCTACACCGACGGAGCGAGAATGCATACGACTGAGCAAACCCGAAGCCCAACGGACACGGGTTGGAAAATATGACCGTGAGCGGGATGAGTCATACATACGTCGACAGAATATTTGTGCGTCCACTGTGTGAGAGAAAGAGAGCGTCGACTAACGTCCTCTAGGCAGGTTAATACGATCCACGACCAATGGACAGACGCAGACACACACACAAGCGTGTTCCGGGTTGCTAACCTGGATACCAACCATCCAAATGACCTGCTTAGGCTGTCCATTAGACGAAGATTTTACCGCTGATGATGATGTTTTAGGTCCCTCAGGGGATGACATTTTTTCAGACACCGAGAGAAACAGACACAATCACCGGCGCCCATTCCAAATTAGACAAACTCTTGTTTGGCAATGACCAACAAACTCGTCGAATTTCTGTGGCTATTAGAAATCTGGCCAAAGTCGGTTTTCCGAAGATCAGAATTGGCTTGCCTGGAAGTTATCCTGAGTTGAATTGATAACATGCTGTGAATCGATTACAATAGCGTAGTTTTCTGCGAAACCTTGCTCACCAGTAGTGGCAAAATGATGAATATCCGGGAAATCGTAAAGCTCGGCCAGATGAACTAACAACGGTGAGAAGGTTTGAGCCAGCCGTGAACAACGCGAACAAAAAATATACTGCCATTTATGGGACGATTACCATGAGGTTCATCTATCAAACACCGGGAAAGGGATTGGACCGGCTTTAGGTGTATTAAAGGGCCATTGAAAGCACTTTTGTGGTAGATAACCAGTGTGTCATCTCCAGGTATAAAAGAAGTGCTGTTGCTTGGCCTCTGCAGTGGCCTATTTTGTCACAAGACAATACGGAGTGAAACGAGTTCAATCATACGCGACACACTCGCCAAGGAGTTGTAATCCCCCCCCCCTACCTGCTCGAGGATAATGGGTAGATCGGAAAAAACTAACTGTTGATCTCTTTGCAAACTGAACACTGGATGTAAATGGCGTTTCATCTAAGAAGTAAGATTTTCGTCCTTGTGGAAAAAAGGATAACCATATTCGCTATCCGAAATACGAACACGTATCACGGTCTCAGTCTGGTGAAACGATCAAAATAAAATCTATTCCACTTATTTCAGGACTAACGTCAAACATATACATATATTATCCGGAAACTGGCGAAAACACATCTACATAAATTTGAAACTAGCCGGTAGCTCTGTGGAGGGAACAATACAACTAAAAAACATAAAGAGGAAAGTGGTTAGATGTGATTCACCCACCCACGCAAATCACGCAATCACACAAAAACTTGCTACAAATCCAAATAATCGATGTCATTGGCATTTGAGTCTTAGGAATAAGGGCTCAGTTTTAGTCTTTGAGCTGATAAAACTCCTGGGTTCATTATGGAAAAAAAACAGATTCCTGATAGATGGTGAGAATCAACCATCTTACCTACTTGCAAAGTGACAGATTCTCTTGTGAAAATAACACAGGAATTAGTCTAATCAGCATCATCTCAGCACCCTTTACTGGTGTTGAACTCTGTCGGTTAATTGCCGCAAGTAAACGGAGCTTGTTTGAGCTGATCGAGGCTACATCAGCTGCAATTTTACCCTTGAACAAATTTCGGAATACAAACCCGCCATGTGTATCCTCGTTGGTTTACAAATGGCCGTCCCAGTTGACCATACAGTACTTCGGAATCGCCTTTATTTGAAGAGTACAAACCGTCTTCTAATCTCTAAGTGTTTAATGGATATGAATTTTGAAACGCTTCTGCCCTCGTGTGAGGATAGCGAGATAGATGTGCTTTAGAACGCTTGTATTGCCGACTGATTACCTTCCGCTCCTTTTCTATCACATGTTTATATATGGATATATATAAGATAGAACTAAACATCTGGTAGAAAAGGAGCAGAAGTTAATTAGTCGACAATAAAAGTATTCTAGAAGTTCGAATAACCTCAGAGAAGTGGGGAGCCAGAAACGCAGGTTAGTGCAAAGTATCACCATCGCCGATTGGAAAGAACGATGTGGATAAAAGAGACACGCTTACAGGAGCGAGGATTTTGGACGGAATGGAGGCAGT